ATTCCTGGGGTGTCCTGCACAGGGCATGGAATCAGACTTGATGATCCTGACAGGTCCCTTCCAACTCCACATAATCTATCAGAGGTTGATGACTCTCCTGTGTTTAGAGACCTGATCTGAAAATTAGTCACAGAAAGTCACCCTCACTCCCTATTAATTAAGGCAATTATGTAAAAGATATTAATCTCGTTCTGAAAAGTGTGCTGAAGCTTAATTGGCTAAGTTTTAATGAATTGATAATTTTACTTTAAAGATATAGAAGTTTGATGCCTTATACACTCATTCTTCCAGCATCTACAGGTAAAAGATAAAAAGTTGAAAGCGCAGCTTTTTGTATTACTCATGCTTTATAATTTTTTTGCTTTTGCCAAAAAGAAAGTATATCTATTTTGTTGTACAAATAGGAAGGAGATGGAGATATGATTATTATCTTTATTAAGTTGCTTAAGACAAAAAGCTGAGTTGCTTAGAGAGAAAAGGCCTGGGATTTCATCACAGAAGCACAAGTAGGGATTTAATTTGCAATCCACAGTTGAGATGTTAGCTGTGTCACAGCCTGCTCTTCCTGATGATAAGGGAAAATTATTTACTAGATATCAAAGGAATACATGCCTTTGACAGGACAATACTTTTCATACATATACATTACATTTTGTTTTTCTCCAAGTTTGAGTCAATCTCAATAGAGGGTATTTGGCAAGCTTTAGTCCCAAGGTACATCTAAGTATTTGTATTATTTGTCAGTTGTAACTATCTTCCTGTGACTTTCAATGCTTAAACTGGAGAATGTGGGATAAGAAACTGATATGTGAAGCTACCTGCTTCACAAATAATATTGAAAATATGTCACTTAGGAAGTAAGTGAAGAAAGAGGCCACATAATGAACAGATATCAAGGATACTGGACAAATGATAACAGTATTGGTAACAATAAATTGTTAATAATCTAAAGTTTCCACACCTTTGCTGTTTTTACCAAACCATTTGGAAAGGAATAGGTCACTGAAGAATGGGTAGATTTGAATATACATATTTACTTGTACTGAAACACTAACAATATTTTACAAAACTTGATGCCTATATTTTGGGGACATATATAAAGGAAATGTCGTCGTAATTTTTCTTCTTAAGCACCTAGATCTGGGGTTGCAAACTTGTGTATTTTCTTTTTCTCAGACATAGAAGTTGTTTATGTCAATTTTTTCTCAACAAGTGGGAAAAATAGGAAACACTGTGCCTTCATCTCAATGGACTAAAGGTAAGAAATTCACCTCTAGTGAATTAAGGTAAGGTAAAATCACACCTCCTTGGAAGGAGCATACTTCCCCTTCAAAATCCACATGAATACTCTGCCAATCTAAGCATGGGTGATTGGTTAGGATTTATTCTACCTTTTGTTCTGAAGGTGAAATGATTCCCCTTTGCGTGGAATAATTTAATATCAACTATACCAATTAAGAGAAATAACATCACGACCTAGCAAAATCTGAGTATCATTCCTCAACACTGATGAACAGAAAATTCTGTCCTTGCTCATGAATATTCAATATGAAATGCTTAAACATGTAATTGTCTCTTCCTTTTATAAGGAATGTCTTAAATGTTGAGTAGTCAAAAATATTTGGATATCCTGCTAAGGAGTGCTGTTTTGTGATTAAAGGATTGAATTCGGGTTCAAATCTAAGGTCTTGTCTATTTGACAGAGTATGGGCTCTGCACATGACCATTCAGTTTCAGTCTGTCTTGCAGACTAAAATTTTCACTTCCAGAAATCACAGAGAACAAAAAAGACTTAAGTTTCTGTGTATTATCACTTATCTGCTCTCAAGCCTCATTTTATATGGTGTAAAAACAAATACCTGTGTAACAATACAACTGCAGTTTCAATGACAACTCTTCCCAACCTTCGAGAAATCACCTTACCTAGGTTCTCACCTGTTACAGTTTTGCAGAGCAAGAAACTTCTCTTGTTACATGTGAAGTATTATTCATGAAATTGAATACTATATGATCTGGATCATTGTTTGAACCAGCAGGGGCTAGTGATGCATTTTAAAAAAAGGACAGGCTCAACCACCAAGAAAAGAAAGTTGTTGCCGTTTGATTTTTTTTTGTTGCCCTTGTGAAAGACAATGCTCTTAGTTCAGTTCACAATAACTCTTCAGCACATCAGAAAACCACAAATGTGTTCTACTGTAATTCTGGATGATTTTTTCTCACAAAGAGGTCAGGAGCCAAAAGGACATAAGTGTTCTCAGGCCTTGGAATTACTCCTCCAGGCGAGAGGGAGGCATGCTGGGGGACCTGTCTGTATTGCTTTTATATTGCCAAGGAGGCTTTCCTCTCCAATGCTGATGATCCCATACAGAAACTCCCTGATTCCCAGAAGTAACTCTTCCTGACTTCAAAATGGCCCACAATTTTACTTTCTAGTTTTAGTTAAGATTGTCAATGGGTTATAACTTCTCAAAATAAACTGCACATGATAGAGTGCTGTTCTAGGCCATGTCTTCAACTGTCATGAAATTTTATTTTGGTTTTTCTTCACCATATAATTGCCAATAAATAAAATACTAAAAATTATAAAAAGAAAAGGAGGATTCTACTAGGAACTTAATATGCATTAGGCAAGAGGTGGTAAAAATATCAGAAGTAGCACATGACAACTTCTAGTTTTACACAACTTGTAGGGAGTCATCTCTGATGACTGCCATCTTACTACTTTGCATGAAAGGTTAAATAAATTTTTGCCAGCTGTTACCCTAGAAAATAGATGAACACTTGAAGTATGTGAAAAAAGGCAAATTGTAAAAACACACACATATGTTCACTCGTATTTCTCACCTACTTTCAATCCATCTACTTATCCTTGAACTATTCATATATAACTGCACTTAGTATACAGTAGCTTCCTTGCTCATAAAATATTGATTCAGGTTTTTTATCGTATATCTTTCTTGAACTTTGATCTTTCATACTTACTGCTCCCTTGATGAAATATTTAGAAGTACATTTTCCATGTGAAAGGTAAATTTAGAGTTTTTTTATGGTACCCTCTGTTAATGCACTAGCTTCAACCCACATGAGACCCAAGCTGAACTCTATCTTGGTCACATTTAGTTGATCATTGCATTTGCAAAAATCTTCCATTCCAAAGCAACTTTTATTTTAAGGTAAAGGTTATTTTTTTTTTGACCTGGTTGGAGTGGTTTACAACACTTTCTCACCAGGTACATTGAGAGAGACTTGAGAAGACACATCCAAAGAACTAACTTTAATAGTTACTTGCCAGCAGATAAAAATGTACAAGCTTTATGATAAAACAACACTCCTAACTTAAAAAACCAACCAACCAAAATCAACCACAAAACCATCAAAAAATCCACAGAAAACATTCTACATATATTTATAGACAGTGAATGTTATTAATTTTGTCAAAGTAAGCAAACTACTGTAATAACTCCTTTACCAATTTCATCAATTTGAACACTTAGCATAAGAAAAAACATTCTCTTGAGGTTGAGAACTGATGAAATCTCAGTTCACAGCTCACTCAACACACAGAATTGAATTTGGCATACAAGAACAAGCATGGTCCAGCTAAAGCTTTTCAAGGGTCTGGAGGACTCAAGGGTTCTGTCAACCATTGTTTCTCTCATACCTGAATGTTTCTTGTCTCAACCTAGACACTAACTTTCACAAAGCTTGTAGAAACTCACTTTTGAGACCTTTATCTCCTTGTTCTATTTTGGCTGAGGGCTGCCAAGGTTATAAGGAATAGAGACATAGGGTGGCACACAGACATACATGTATATAGAGCAAGAACAAACACCTGCTTCTGTTATAGTGTAGCTGTGTAAATTAGAATATGATACTAAAATCAGTGGAGCAGTAGGTACTTAAGAAAATGGACAATGAATAATAAGAGAATGCATCCTGTTCTCCACAGGACTGTTTTGTATTTCAAATGTATGACTTGGGATTCTTCCCAAAGAGGTGGCACATCAATAGGCCAATGGAAGTTCATCCACACCAAGGCATGTAGCATGGGCAACAAACAGGAGGAGCTAGAAACTGTGCAGTTGGAAAACTATGATTAGTTGAAGTCATGAAAAGTGTTGGTTTTGCAGCTGGACTCAATGATCTTAATGTTCTTTTCAAACCTAAGGAATTCTATGATCATGTATTGCTTGTTTTGAATATGCTGCTCGCAGTTCTTGATTAAGACAAACTGTTTGGACAGATAGAAGTGAAGAAGCAGAGAAAACAGTATAGATTTTCTCACTCCAAATTTTAAATTCACAAAATTCTGTGTTTAGGAGATATTACTATGGGAAGAAATTTTCATATAAAGTGTACTGAATAATTTCAATAGGAAACTTCTTTTTTTATAATTAGAAAAATAATGGAGTACTCCAAAAGTATTGGAGTTGGTGTTGTTATTGAGGTGCAGAACCAGGATTTAGTTTAATTTTTTAAATATTGTTCACTGTATGACTCTCCATCCAAGCATTATTTAGGGGAATAATAAAGACTGTATCCCCAAATACAGAATTTCATGGAAATGAAATGATCAAATTTTAAAAGACAGTCTTCAAAGTAAAGCACATCTACCAGCTATATATTTAATTCAAGGCATTTTTATAGTTGGATAACATAAACTCAGTTTTCACACAATGTAACATCTGTGGTTATTTTACTGAGACAGCTGGAATGTTAAAAGAAATATTAAACTTGTGTCAAATAAACATTTGGGTAGAAGAAAAGTTGATATCTCAGACAACACCTGAAGACTTTTATCTCAGACAAGTCTTATCTCAGACAAAACCTGAAGTTTTTATATGTCATTTATATTATATATGAGTTTTTTATGACCTTTAAAAAAACCCCAAACCAAACAAGGTTTTCATTCTGCATTTTTGCCCACTTTATCAGTGTCCAAGGTAAGAAAGTTTTGATGCAGAAAAATTACAATACAGAAGCACAAAGAACTATCTTACCTTCTGGCTCCCTGATCTTGCGTCCTGCTGCAGATTTTCGTAGCACACTCCTTCCTGAGTTGAACAAGCTAGTTAACTCATCAAGGGGACTGGTCAACGACCTTGAGTTTGTAGGGCTGTATGAAAATGAAGATGATGAATTTGAGTTCAATTTCCTGTGCTCTGCTCTTGCCACCTTTGGGGAGTAAGGCAGTTTGGAAAATGGAGAAGACGAGCCTCCAAGCTGAGCAGGAGTGGTTCTCTGAGGTACTTTTGGCAGATCTGAATTTGTACCTGTTTTCCCTGCACTAATCAGAAAACTAGCACAAGTCTCTGGAGGAGATGCAAAATGTATGGAAGCCCGGTAGGAAGCAGGAGGTGGTACAGGAGGAGGGGGTGGTGGCAGTGGAGGAGGTGGTGTGGAAGGAGGAGTCACTTTGGTGGAAACACTGAACACAATCAGGCCTGGAGATACTGGTCTGTCATTCTCCCCTTTCTGGCCTTTGGAGTACTGTGGTGATAATGGACTTGAACCTTCTGACTGCACAGGGTATTTTAGGTTGGTTTCCAAAACAGGAAGCTTTTTGACCTCCAGTGGTGTTAAAGGTGATTCATCAGAGGCTGGTGAACATGTGACAGGGGTTGGAGGGAATACAAGAAGTGGTGGTCTGTGGGGGAGCAAGTTAGGGAAAGGGGCTGGAATGTCACATGAGTCTTTATAGATCAAAGCTGCTTGGCTGTTTCCATCCAATGTTCCATCTTCAATGTTAATATTTTTTTTGCTTTCAAACAACAGAGGAGGAGATCCAGTCACTACTGGAATTATTCCATTACCATTGCTGCCTTCTTCTGGTAGAAAATACTTCATTTCTTCATATACAGACTCTCCTTGTTCTGGACTCTCCACTTCAGCAGAACTGCTTTTCACTGCATTCCCTACCATTTCAATATAGACAGGCTCATTTTCCTCCTCTTCTTGTGACATAAAGAGATTCAACACGCCGTGTTGTGGCCCATCAGTAGCAGCTGTTCTCTGTACTGTCACAGTGTCGTAGACACTTGGTTTAACTACTGTGCTTGCTTTTTTTACATCCCCAGGCTTTTGGCCAGGTATTTCTTCGTAAGAACCACTAAGTTTTGTATTTGGACTTCGCTTTGGTTTTCTGGGAGGTATTTTTTTCATGGTACTATAGTCATCACTGTGTGGTCTTGGACGGGTCAGTACTAGGAAAGTGAAAAAGGTCTGTGTTATTAACAAGTTAGTCAGTTTTTTTTTACACTGGTCTAGTACTTTAAGCCCTCAAATGTTGCCCATTTAGTTCTACAATGAGCATCAGTCACAAATTCAGGACTCTAAGCAAAAGTGTAAATGCTTCTAGGAATAAAATGCAGAATTTTCAGCTACCCAACCACAGGCCTTTGTTACCTGGGCATATAGTCTCCTTTGGTAAACTCTACTGCCACTTAAAGATGAGGGCTCACACCTGAGGAAGTATATTTTGAATCTAAAATATACTTGTGCACTGCAAGATCCCATGTAACACATGGGAATATGAGCTCGTTTCTCCTGTTGCTCCAAGGGAGAGGGGCGTGCTTTCAACTAGGAGTCAGCACAGTGCTACTTTGACATATATGTGACTGCCAGTAACTGAAATACCCCTCTTTTGTGTAATATCTCTAAATCTCTAATTATGGGATGATATTATGTCTCTCTCTTCTTTGGTACTGCAGGTGTGGAAATAATTTATAACTTTAGGGAATACCATAGCCTAAGGGCAAATCCCCAAGTGAGTACACATTTAACTAAACTAGATGTCTCTTTATAGCCTCCAGGCATGTATGCAGTGAAGAGACTAGATACCTAGAAGAGTGGTCTTTTAAGACCAAATTTACATGGTATAAATCAGAGCTGGTTTTGGACAAAAATAAAACTGACATAATTATTGGAAAATTAGTATATGGCAGAGAAACTTGCCCTATTGTTTCATACATATAAGAGCTCTAAAATTGTTTTGTGAGTATATGTAAGCAGGATTGTTAAGACCACACATACATAAATAAATTTTTGTTCTTTCAAAACACCTCTGCTAGAACTTCTTGGTTAAATCTCTTGCAGATTTGGATACAGAAAGATTAAATTACTACAGACCTCCTTAAACCATACTAGTTTAAAAGCATAGTGGGCATAGTTCATGTCTCCTTACATAGAGCTTGAAGGAAGAGGTTAAAGAAAATGGACTTTCACCTAATGAACTGGACATGAGAACAGTAATTATTTTGAGAGACGGAGCTGTGAAGATTTCTATCCACTGTATGCAGGACTGGGGAGTTATAGAGAGATTTAAACCCAACCTGAAGGATCTTCCTTGATAAGACTTGGGGATCATTTACACACAACATGACAAGTCAGGCTTATCAAGGAAAGCAGAATGCATTCCTTTCCTTCATCTTCTACCCATTCATTTCAAAGCGAAAGGAGACTAGAACAAGTGAACTCAAAACCATGCTATGTTTACCATAATGCACTGAGATACTTCTGGACACTTGCAGCACTTTTCTTCTAAACAAAAATCACTATAACCAAATTATGGTCAACAAAATCCACAACAACCTAAACAAACAAACACTGAATGCATAAATTATTCATGTGAGCATAGACACAATGTAGGAGAAAGTTTAATGTTAAGTCTGTGAAATTCAAGATTCTAGCATTTTTTTAGTGATGCAAGATATTCTAACAATTTAAAAGGTGAAATAAAATGGTCAGTGGGGTAGAATAGCTCATGTTGACACATTACTAGTTTCTAGAGAGATTTCTCCAAAGAGGTTTTTATTGTTGTCAAACTGGGCAATTAGAACACATGAATATTATTTGCTGATTTGGGAAAATATGACAAATTGGCTAATTTTATTTACTGCCACTGAAATATTTCAAGGAAGCAGGACCTCTCAAAGGCATTTGACTGTGTTTAAAAGGATCAAAGTGAGGAGAATAAATCAATAACCCAGAGTAACATTTGCGACTGTCTCTGCCTTTATGTCTAACCTTCATTAGCGGTTTCCTTAGAAGCTGCCGACAAGCAAGCACTAACAGCCTCGTAGGAGGCACTCAGTCGTGTGTTGGGGTCCCTCTTTGGCTTGGGAGGAGGCTGTTTCCTTGGAGATGGCAGGCTATTGCTGTCGTCCATGCTGAAAACCGAGTGCAGGGAGGGGGATCTGATGGATGACCCAGCGGCAGAATGCGCCAAGCCATCCACTGCCATGGGGACAGGCACGGAGCTGGAGTGAAAGTGCTTAGAGGTTCGACAGCCGGCAAAGCTGTCCTCAGAGACCTTCCCACCCTTGTCTTCAGCTCTGAAAACACAGAAAAGAGGCCCAGATGCATTATTCAAGCAATAACAATGAACCTGTTCATGCAAATGTAACAACAGCTTTTTGGTAAACAATCTCACAACTCCCCTGCTGCGCTGAGGGGATGTGGGTAGTAATCTTCTGACAAACAAATCCAGATCAAGCTGCTAGCTTTCTTCCATTTCCTGTTTCATGATAAATCAGGACACCGGCCCTTTTTCACACAAATGCAGCCTTGCTTAAGCAGTCTCATATTGTTGACCAGACATTCACTGAATGAATTGTTCACACTTTGATTGCTACACACAATCAAAAGCTGGGTTTTTAATCTGAATGATAATTTCTGGGAAATCCATTTTAATAGAAAGTTACTGAGGCAGCAAATGCTGAGCCTTTATCATTATTTTCTAAAAAGACAACTATAAATTCTATTTAGATAATGCAAATCTTTAAAATATTAGATGGTCTTTTTAACCAGCTACATTGACAGCTTGAGCAATTCCACCCAGATATCCCTATATCTTCCAGTTTAAACTTAATTATTAGTTTTTACTTTTAATAATAATTTTTGTTATTATGTTATGTTATGTTATGTTATGTTTAGTTGTTTCAATTACAATCCAGTTTTTCAATTTTTCCCTTTCTTTTTTTTTTTGCTATTTGAATACATATTGAGAAATAACCTTCCAGCTGCTTCTGACAAATTGATTTTTAACAAAAATTCTTCTAACATTTTATTCCTCCAAGAATCAAAACATTGAGACCTTTTAACTTAGAGTAGTAATGTAATAGATAGAAGATTTCTATACTGACATTTTACAAACAAATCCTCAAGCATTTGTTTTTTTAAATTGTATTTCTGCATGGCAAATCACCAGCAGAGCTGAAATTCATGCACAGGATATAGCCAGCTGCCCATGAAGCAAAAGAAATAGGAAAAGATGAAAGCACGGTGCTCAGTGGATAATTTGTTTTCACTGTAATGTTTAATTACAGTCTTTCCTACAAAGGCATTTCCTCCAATATGTAATCACTGGGATATTTGAAGCTAATTAAGCAGATGCGCTGCCATTTTCACTTTTATTAAAGTCACTGACAAAAGCAATGATAGCAAAGGGAGCTGTTCTGGATGAAAATTAAGTTCCTATGGAAAAATAAACATTTATATGTCCAGCAAGTTATAGACAAATTATTTCCATTGACACATATGGATTAACTGCAAATGCTAACTCTGAGATAGAGCTGACTATCTCAGCTAAGAGAGAAATCAGAGACTCAGTTCCCAGAGAATGGCGCTCCAGCATTTACTGGGCTTGTAAAATAGGTACTCCTGAAAATTCTGACAAGAGTTAAAAAAACATAATTTGCCCATTTTAAAATAAAAGCATCCTCCTCACAATCAATCTGCTTGTTTCAGTGAGAAATCATATTTATTAGTGTGGACTTTACTGTATTTTAACACTTTCCTATCTGTTTTTCATTACCTTGGCAATTTCTCAGTGTTGGTATTTTAAGTCAGAGGAATTGTTCTTTTGCTTGTTTGGTCTGGTGAAGTTAAACTATAATCTATTTATCATAGAATTAGAAGTATTTCTGTAAAAAATAAGTGTATCAGAGACTTGAATAAGTTCCTCTAAGCTCAGTGCCCCTTGAATAGGATATGGTGGTCTTAACTTTCTTGACTTAATTACCTGATATACAGGAAAAAAATATGACCTAATATTGATTTGGGTTGAGCATATACTTGAGAATTCTCTTGCAATCCTTCTGTCATTTCTATTGTTTTCTAAACAGGGAAGGAATTCACAAAAACTGAAGAGCCTCATTAATTCTTCACAGCAGATGTTTCTCATCCTACCTTTTCTGGCCTTCTTCTGGCCTGTTTCTAGCGTCTCCCTTTTCCCTGTGGTGAGCAGCGTTCATCTCGTTGCGGAGCCGGTCATTTTCCCGAGCAATGTCAGAGGCATTCTGGATCACCAAGTTGTCATATGTTTTCAATCCCATATCCTCAGCATTCTGCAAGAAGCTTTTGATTGAGGTGACCTCTTGCTGTTTGATGCTCATCTTCTGTAGCAAGCGCTGGCGAGCTAGAAATCCTCTTATAACTACCATAGTGGAAGGAGAAAATATGGACCAGTGAAAGACTAGTTGGGAAACTAACTTAATATTAGTGTGAGTTCTGTTTAAACATGAGCAAGCCAAGTTCAGTCAATATCTTATACATATTAGGAAAGAAATCTGATGGCATATAAATAACATAGTAAAACTCTTGTTTGGAGCAAAACTAAGACTCCTCTTAGTGGAGTAAAACTCATCATGGAACTCTTTCTATTTTCTACTGCCAGTGCTTAAAACAATGTAGTGACAGTAAATTATTAAATATGAGCTATCAGAACTCAAAATGTTTATTTTCACTGAATGTTATTTTTTTATTACATTACAACACAGATGTAATAAAATGTATACATCTTGCATATGCATGATGTAAGATGTATACATAGATGTGTACTACAGATTGTGAAAGCATACATTTACACTGCAAAGGTCAAAAGATTGTTTCAAAATAAAAGCCTGGATAAATGAATTGCAGTGAATGCAGTAGGAATTAAATGATTGCTGTTGTTCTGCTGTAAAAAATGCTGTAAGTGTTTCAATGTACCTAATACCCCAACAAAATCATACCAAGTACAAGGGGTTTTTTGTTTGACTTAAAGATCTTTTGCTGCTCATTTCCTTTCAGCTAAAACAATTAGGTTAATTTAATGCAAATTTCTCAAATCCATCTGACACATCATATCTGCATTTTTCAGTTAAAAGTTTTCATCTGCATTGCATCAGCTTTATTTATCTATTAGACTTTTTCTTCACACTTTTTGTCAGCTTTATGCTGGGAAAAGATTTTAGTCCATCTCCTGTAATAGCTTTTTCTATCTCTTTGCTATATAAGTACATTCATTACAAAAAAACTACCCAAATACCACTCAGTCTTCTGGATTTTCTGAAGTACAGTTGATCAGAAACACGAGGCACAGGGGCCGCTGTGGCCATAATAAATTGGGCACCATTTTAATCCCAGTGCCTGCAACAGGTGGTGTCATTATTCTTTGAACCTATGTTTTGACTTAGAAGGCAGAAAGATGCTGACTGAAAGTACTGTGTTTGTGTGGATGGTTTTTGTTTTGTTTTGTTGCTGTTTTTTTGTTCATTCATTTGTTTGTTTTTTTAAGCTCCACAAGATCATGTTTCCTTCCAGATGTAGAGCCATGCTCTGTATCTCATAGGGAAGAACCTGGTTTAGAATTATTTGTCTGTTGCCTTAAATACTCTTGGTTTTCATCAATTTATATATATCAAAAGCAAGTCAAACTTCATCGCTGCTTCTTATGGTTACTCTTTTTCTGGTCAATTGAAAGTTTTTCATCAGTGAAGTTAGGAGACAATAGCCTGGGTAAGAGGTTTGTTTGAATTTGGAGGAAGTTACCAAGAATGTTGATTGCAGGATAAAAAAATTAAAATGCATTAGGTATTTACAATAACAAAGTTAAATTTCAGATTTAGGATTACTGCAAAACAACATTAAATGATGAAGAGTCAAGCTGAAATAATATAAAGGGAAAATGTCAACAGAGAAAAATACAATTAGTCTTCTATGATTATAAAATGTTATTGAATAAAATAAACAGCTAAAGCATAGGGTAATGTAAGGTACATTCTATCATCTTCTAGTGCCTTGTTTAGACACTAAAAAAAAAGATTTCTTTTATAGAGATGCTCAGTGCCCAGCTGACAAGATGTAAGAAAGTCTAAAATTAATAATAATAACGTAATACTGCTTCTATCCAAAATTTACTGGGTTTGAAAACCTTCAAATTCAGGTAACTTGAAATAATTTCTGATATTAATTTATGATAGAGAGCTCTGAAGGTTTATACTTTTATAATTATATCCAATCAATGCCTTTAATTACATTCCATAAAATCTGACTTCTTTAAACTCTGAAACATTATTGCACATACCCAATTTACTTGAAAAGGATATTAATAGTACAGTTATTGTTGAAAATTTTATGAGAGTATTCATAATAAAGATGTTACTGAGTCTGAATCTAAGGGTTACTGTTGCAAAAAGAATGAATACATGCATAGAATATTATCAGAGTTCACTGCTCACAAATATAAAAATTTTGAAAGAGCTTAAGATGAAACAAATGCTTTTTCCTGAAATATTCTCTTTAAATCTATCTTCTGCAGAGCAAAAATAAGCATCAAATCCTGGGTGACTTTAGAAAAAAAATCTGAATGTTAGGTCTGTGTGTCTGTTTGTGCTTTTAACTTGAGAAAAAAAATCTAACCAAAAAAAAGATTGTTAACACCACCAAGGTTGGTTAGAATAAAGAAATTAAGAGATCAGGTCTCTGACAGGATTGTTAGCAGGCATGAATGAGCAGTTTACAGTAGCCTGCTAGAACGGTCCAATAAAATGAGATCCAGTAGAACTAATTGTAACATTGAGAGACTGTACAGCTACTCTGAATTATGCACTTTCACTAAAATGAAGAAGAAACCTTCAACAAAGCTTTATTAGGAAGGGTTGGCAGATAGACATCCCTTTTTTGCACACATTTTCATGAACTGAGTAGTTTGGGTTTTTCATTAAACAATACACATTTCTCCACACTTTTTTCTCTATGAGAACGTTTGAAAGATGTAGGTTTTGTTTAAACAGAGCAATTTTATAATCTAAAAAACTGCTATGAAATGAAACTCTCAGATCCTAGACTTTTACTGCTCAGTTTCATCTACTGCTGTTGGGTACTGGGTACTATGATTGCCTTGTGAATTTGCTCCTCATTTATGTAGATCTAAAATAATTCTCATTATGCAAATTAAAATAATTGAGGTTAGCACCCCCAGGGCAGAAAAATATCTAGTATTTTAGAGTTCATCTAAGGATGAGGATTGGAATAACCAAAATTCCAGTAGACAATGGATCTGGGTTATGTGAGGAATTTATTAACTACTGTTTATACAATGTATTCAAGTTAAATCCTCATCTACATTAATGGAAGAACTTTCAGCACGATTGCCCTTCCTATGGATACAAACAATTTTCACAGTGATTCAGGTCAAAATATATCATATGTAGCTCTCATACCTGCAGAAAAAAAATGACAGTCTCTAAACTCACAGGTATATTTTTAAGTAAAAGTGTTTCAACACATGCTTTCACTTTAGTTTGACCCCTTTCTTTGCTTGTGTAAGATAAGTTTCAGGATACCAGGAAGGACTTATATGGTTGCTTTGTTTTGGGTTTTTTTCCCCCAAACCTAGAAGAAGGGATTGCTAGTTAGACTTGAAGTAAAAAGAATTAATAGGATATTTGAGCAAGACTTGCTTTCCCTTAAATCTAAGCTCTTATCTAGGTATATGATGTTACATTTAAAGCCTGATACAGAAATTAGAATCATAGAATCAGAATATTCTGAATTGGAAGGCATCCACAAAGTGCCTTTGGATCATCAAAGTCCAACTCTGCACAGGACACCCCGAGTGTCACACCCTGTGCCTGATAGCATTGTCCAAACATTTCCTGAGCTCTGTCAGGCTTGGTGCTGTGACCACTTCCCTGGGGAGCCTGTTCCAGTGCCCAACAAGCCTCAAAATTTCACTGTGATCCCCTGGGTCCTGCCACCAGTGAGCAGAGATCAGTGTCTGTCCTCAACTCCTCCTCATGAGAAAGCTGTAGGCTGCTGTGAGGTCTTCTCCCAGCCTCCCCTTCTCCAGACTAAACAGCCCAAGTGACTTCAGCCACTTCTTGTACAGCTTCCCCTCAGGGCCTTTCACCATTCATAGCTCTCCTCTGGATGTTTTTAAACAGATTTAGTTTTTGTTATATTGTGATTATTGACTAGTTTGGCTACTATTTAACATGTTTTCAGGAGACATATAGCTTCCAAAGTCCCCTGCATGTAAAGGGTGAGGGGACAGAAGTGCATTGGGACTGACACCATTACTCAGTAAGCATGACTATGTCAGTGTGAAGTATTTGGATACCAATTTTAGGATCATATAAGAACAATGTACGGGTACTCTATTCTATTCTAAATTTGCCAGAGCCCTTTGGCATGCTAAATTCTACAAGTTTCCAATTGCACTTGTTTGCAAAAGGCAGCTTCTTTCATGAGCTAATGACACGAGGTCGATGTCTAACTACTCCTTACCCATCCAAGTTCCTGATTTTCCCAGGTTTCCCAGATCATAAAAAGCATGCAGATGAGACTTAGCTGTAAAAACACTTTTGGCAGAAATTAATTTTCAAGTTACCCTCATGAAGGAGGATAGAAGCAAAACAAAGAAAAATATTTTGTAATGAGCCAAGAAGCCCTATTATCTTCATTCTTCAGGGAGACTTTGGTGATCTGTTCTCTTACTTCTGCAAAACATGGACATATCTGACGAGGTTTTAAGTTTTGGTGGAGGGTTATATTGAAGCATTCTGTTTGCACATTGGATTCTGAAAGTAAATATTTCCTTTCTTTTATAAGTCAGCATAACAAGGGAAAGAGCATAAACTATTACTGCTTTTCAAAATGCATTAGTGCAATAGGGTAATTTGCAGTAAAAAATCACACCCAAGTATAAACTCAGCTGAACTGTGGCGTCTGTTACCTGTCCTTCTCCATGTTCATTTCTGAACTGTTACCATTTGGATTTCACTTGCTTCAGATTTTCTCCTGACTTTCTCTTTTTCACTACATGCTTACAGTGACAAACAGATAATTAAAATGAAAGGGGTTTATATTTCTTAAGTCTGCAATATTGTGTGTCAGATAAAAAAAAAAGATAAGATTTTGTAGTTTTGATTTCCTTTAAAGAGGTGAAAATTGGAATTGTTGCAGACATCAGCCAATTAGGTAAATAATGAATGGTGTGAAGGAAGCTTCTTCAAACAAAGCAATATTCATATTTTCAGCAGTTATTTGAGACTGATAGAAAATGGAGCATAAGTAACAGGAAATCAGGAGGTAGTGGATAGTACCTCCTTTTAAAAATATGTTTAAAAGTGCAGTGACCTTAGGAAAAATGCAGGAGTCAAATGGGGAAAAATAAACATAAAATATAAAACAATAAAAAACTAGCAGTCAAATAAGAAAGGAGTAAGAAAAGGGGAAAAATAAGTATAACTAAACACACTCATGTATTAGCTTTAGTTTTTAGTGTTGATATATTTGAAACTATTCCAATTTTGTATCACTGTTACCATATTTTATGTGAAAAAGAAAGTAAAAGTGATATTAATGCCTTGAAAAATCACTGAACTTACTCTAAAAAGAAAAATATTCAAGATCTTACAAGTTTTAATTACATTCAAGACTGTTATAAAATTATGTTTGACCAACAGAAAGTGCAATGCTAATATCTCAAGAATCTGTGTATATCTGTAGGGAAATGTATAAAATACAGCAACTATTCAAGGTGGAGAAAATCTCTTTGCTATGCAATGTTCTGCTCCATGTACAAGGCAACAGCTCAGGAGTACTTGTTCTGTAATTGTTACCTTTTTGGCAGGTTATAATTTTCTTCTGAAGCTGAAGGCACAAATCGTTGAGATGGTCAGCTTGCCAGTACTTAAGAAACACTTTTCGAACTCCTATCTAGAATACAAACAGCAGAGAAATCATCAACAAATAAGGCCAAAACAATGACAGGTAAATAGAGATTGTACGTTAACAATCCAGCAAAGGGTTGAAATAATATCTGCAATTTAGGAACAGTACAATGCCAATTCTGTAACAGAAATGCAGTCATCACTTGGTTGAAAAAAAGATGTATTTGTAAAGGATGAACAAGCTGTCAGACAGATAGTTCCACTTCAGTTCCAAAAATATCCAGAACAAATAGTACAATCTTCAAGTTAAATACAAGTTGGGGAAAAAAGCATTCTGAATTTAATGTGTTAGACAACATAATAGAAAATAAGGTTTAGGTCTTATAAAGCAGAAGGCTGTGTGCATGGGGAAAGGTGACAAGTCAAACCCATGTAGAACAGAAAACGGTGAGATAGCTGCCATATGTGGAACAGGAAGAACTTAAATGAAGTTGGAGGATGGGAGAAACTCACTGTCATTAGTGACAATGACTCCTAATATCCAGTAAAGTTATGAATCCTAGTTCCCAGCCTTGCTTACTGAAGCTGTGCTTTGGGTCTCCTTTCAGGATCAAAGTAAGAGACAGAGTGACTGATTTGTGAAAAATAATCTCCTAAGTATTGATTCTGGTGTTGTGTAGTATCTTGGTTTAATCATCTAGTTCTTGAAATAACAATCATTAGATGTTCTCACTCCTCTAGAGGCAAGTTTATCTAGTTAGACCAAAAGAAAACACCTTTCTTTTGATACCTTCTGAGCAAGCCGGAACAGTCCTATAAAATTCTTTGTATCATCTTCAAAAGCATTCCTTTCTAATAGACTTTAAAAACCACACACAACCTAACAACTCTAAAACCGGCAAGTAACTGGAAAAAACCCCCAATCAATAAGCCAATCATTTTTCTCAGGAATTTTGCAGAAGTAACTTTCTAGACTTCATAAAAATAAAAGCAGCAGTGCCAGAAAACTGTGCTACCCTCAAAGATTCTAGCTTTTGCGTAACTATTAATTTTTTTATGGCTAATAGGCATACTGATTAATTCATACAAGTCTGGCTAAAATTACAGAAATTCTTTCCAACTCTTGTTTGTCTCCAGCTTACAAGCTCACTCTCTTCTTACTGAGCCATCCTGTTCCACTGGTGTTTTTTTACTTTAGATCTGGGAGACAGGTATCTGAAAGGTTAATTGCACACCCTTCCAAATTTTTTTTAATCCAAACACTGTTAGATGTACATCCTTGTAGGGTTTGATGACAGAAAGCCAGGATATATATTTCACCGCTAAACTCCATTAACTAAATCAGAAATTATTGCGGCAAAGTTTTGTCCCTTGGCTTCACCTCTCTCTACTGTAGAGAGCAACTTATTTGAATCAAAAGTTTTAAAAAGTCTTTAATCCTGAAATTTGAGCTAACAATGATGGTGCAGTTCTTAGTCTTTTAATTAAAATCAGATGCACTCAAATTGTAAAACTAGAATGCTTCCTAATTTTTTTTTCATTAGTCCCTCTATTCCCTATAAAATAGTCCCTTTTGAATTATCACAAAGTGTGTGGAAGTAGATGACAAAAATGACATGTTACTTTATAAAGTACATTATAAAGTCAGAAATAGGGAAGAGGCTCTCTTTGTGGTGTGGTTAATCTGAGGCAATCTCCCTGAGATCCAATTGTGCACTCACACGCTGCTCTTAGGGCCACATTCTCATCTTCATTTTCCTGACTTCCAATAAAATTTTTTTACTTTTCTTCCTCAGCTTTCAAAATTCTCTATTCACCTGGTTATCTTAACTCTTTGCTTATTGAACAGGTTTTTTCCAATCCATCTTGTCAAACCACATTCTGAACTTGAATTATCACTAGTTTTGGCTACTAATACCTTCATAGTCTTGCTTACAATGCCTTGAATAAAGAATTCTCTGTAAAAAATAACTGAATTATTATTCATATAGTTAACTGTAATTAAATTATTGTGTGGTTATTATAATTACCATTCCATCTGAGCAGCTCTCAGACAAAGCCTGAGAACAAATAATAAAATTATATTCCTCTACTCTGATTAAATTTTCTCTTTATACTCCACCTTTCCACAAAGCCTCTACATCACACATGTTTTTTTGTCCTGTCTCAGGCCTATGCCAAATCATCCAATTTTTCCTTATTTCTGTCTTTTGTCCTTAATTGCTTAGAGTTCTAGTTGCTTCCCTTACTAGAGCAATACTGATACTCTGACAGTAGAAAAGGACATGAAAAGTTACTCTTTAAAACCTTAAAAAAGCTCTTATTAAGAGCTTATTAAGCTTTAAGAAGCTCTAGTAGTGCCCGTGGCAAAATTACCAACCCCATTCTCAATTAGTCTCGTTATTGACACACTGGTTGCTCACATTTAGCTATATTTGAAAAGTGTAACTTAACTAACTGAGTTGCAATTTATTGTGCAGTATGCAGTCGCAAAATCGCAGTCAAGACAATTGCTGAAGCTTATGTTGGTTTAGCTACAAGTGTCTGACACTGCAAAGCTATCCAGGGGACATGCAAAGCCTTATTGCTCTTTCCTTTCACCCTACACCCTAGGAACAATATAAATGGAGTTATTGTGGCATCACTTATGCTATGAACTTCATTAGTAGGAGCCTGCTACAATTTTTAAGTGAATGAAGAAATACAAAATGTCAATACAAATCCATTTTTACATTCAGATAAAAGCTATTTATAGATTTTTACATCATATGACAGGCCTACAGAGAGCAGAGCTCTAGACAGAAGCATGTAAAGCAGAAACTACTATTACATGTTTGATTATGTTAGTACAGATAGAAACCTCTGTTGCTTAGTCTTTGAATTAAATCTGAGAGCCTCTAAGGCTGGGCAAGAGAACAAGATAGTCTCACTGCCCTTTTTATTGTTCTGGTGTTCAGTGAAAGCAATAATGCTGAAAAATGTTGGAATTTCACATGTCACATATCAAAACAGCTTTTGAGGTTGCCACCTGTCTTCATTCTGGTCTCTTCTTTAATCACAAAATGTTTCCTGCTTGCCTAGGGGAAAAATGGTTCAAATGTTCTTCCACTAAAATACTCACTTTTCAGTATTTTTTCTGGACTACAAAGTGCTCTTATCTGAGTCTGAAATTTTAATGTCATTCAGACTCCTGTAAAAGTAAACCATCTGTGAATTACAGTCATAGTTATTTTAATTAGGAAAGCATTAAGGTTTAAAATGTTGTTTTTCAAAATGATACATTTTTTAAAGACTACGTAAAATTGTTGTTGATGGCTACCAAAGCTTCAATTGCTGCTATGGGCCAGCTGGTTTTTTTTTGGGAGGGAACTGTTCTTTCTCTTTCTTCTTATTTTTATTTATTTTTAAAATATTTTTTTATTTCTTATTTTTTAATTTTATAGAAAAGGTGTAGGATGTAGAAGTACAGACATTCAAAACTATGGAATGGATGCTGAGATCGTGTGTAGGTGGCATGGAGGCAGTATTAGCTCATACTTAATAGGTGTCAAGGGAATCTGTAAAGCTGTTCTTTAGTTTAAAAAAGGCAATTTGTGGGAGTGCTGTGTGTTTCTGGCAGTACTTTCAAAATAGCTACCTACAAAAGACAGAGAACTATAGTCTAATGATATTTTACACAATGACACACATTTTCACAGATCATTAATGAAATTTAGAAAAAAGCCTTAATACTATTGTAAAATGTGTCTTCTTGCAGTGTACATGTCTACAAAGATATTATTATGACAAACACAGGGCACTGATTTTTAAGGACTGAAATTTTTTTTTTAAAGGTTTACTCTCTCTGCTTTGTTTCATATATTTTAATAGTCCTTCTTCATAAACTAGTAACAATGCACTGTGGTACATACTGAATAAACCTACATTTTAGCATACTTCATTTGTGACCTTAATACAAAGTATGTGAGTAATCTGGTATTCAAGCAAGTGACATCAGGCATTTATATACGTTCTTGTCAGGAGCTGGAGTTGAGGCAGAAAAACTGTCATTCAGGTCTCTGGGAAAGGGCAGAATAATGGTCACTCCTTTTCCCTAAACTGTACAAACCTCACAGCTCTTCATACCTGTGAGGCAACATGAGGAACTGCCTTAGAGAACAGCAAAGAAGCGATTAGGAAATGTAAGATACATGTAAGAAACACTCAGTAGGGGAAACCCTACCCCAGTTTTATCCCATGGGATCTTGGTATTTACCAGACTTATTATTCCAGTTTTCAGAATTTTAAAAACAGACACAGCACCAAAATGTGGTGGTACACCCTCCTCCACACCCCTTCCCCAGGCCTGCTCCATGATCTCACTGCTAACCTGAGCCAAACCACTCATTCACAACTCAGAATAAACAATGGGAAAGGGTCTCTTGGCATGAATGAGAAGTACAGGATACAGGTGACAGGGAGAGCGGTGGCACAGAGAGCAAACCCTGAGGCAGGAGACCGGAAAACAAATCGCAGACAAATAAGGGATGAAGAGTGCGACCAAATATGAAGCAAAGTATCTAGAAAAGTGTCAAAAAGTAGAAGTGCAAGGGGAGAGAGGAAGAGGAAGACATGGAATCCAGATCTGAGATGAAAAAGATAGCATAAAGAAAATTGAGTTAGCAAGACTAGTGATCCTAAGAAAGACCTGAAAGATAGATAAACAGAGGGAGGAATATATTCCACAGGAAGAAAAATAATTTTTCATAGAAATATGAACTAAAATTTTTTTTCATAGAAATAGGAACTAAAAACAACAAAACCATGTTTAGTCTTAAAAGAGTGAGATCTTGTGAGCATTTTGAGCTCAAAATCAACCATCTGTCCTATTCTCTGGCTGAAGGGAATCATGAGTTTGACCAGTGTGGCACAAAGTCACTGAGTAAATTTGGGGGCAGTGTCTGGCCCAGACCAGTCTTTTGGTAATATTGGTGAGGTAGAAAGTCACTCTCTGGTGGTTTCTGCAACCAGCAAATTATTTCCAGTATATAATGGAGTGACAAGATG